CTTTGAAGGAGTCTCCTGTTTCCTGCTCCAGGAAGACTTCAATGACTTAAAAATGCTGCTGAGGGGGCCCTGGTCGGACTGCTCAGTTGGTTGGAGCATTGTCCTGATACACCAAGGTTCCGGGTTTGATCCCTGGTCAGGGCACATACAAGAATCAACAAACTAATGAATGCAAATATAAGTAAAACAAGTCAATGTTTCTCTCTCTCTCTCTCTCTCTCTCTCCCTCTCTCTGCCCTGCTCCTCTCCTCTCTAAGATCAATCAATACATAAATAAAATTAAAAATGCTACTGAGGGGATAGGCCCGAGACCACCTAATCTCTCACAGCAATTCGCACTAATGCTGCTATGACAAAGTGTTTGTTTTTAGCAGACCTGGCATTAAGTCATGTCACCTCAAAGGTAGGAATCCTGGCTCTATGTTTGGGCGGAAGGACAGGACCTCCTCTGCTAGCATTCCCAGAACACCACGTACAAACTGGCAGTCTGCCCATTGTGGTTTGGTTTGGTTTGGTTTGGTTTGGTTTGGTTTGGTTTGGTTTGGTTTGGTTTGGTTTGGTTTGGTTTGGTTTCGTGAGCATCCTCATATCCAACAGGGAACCTATCTCNGTTTGGTTTGGTTTGGTTTGGTTTGGTTTGGTTTGGTTTCGTGAGCATCCTCATATCCAACAGGGAACATATCTATCTTCATGATGCAGCCCAGATAGAAACCTGGAGTCCTGGCTGTTCAATGTCATAAGAGAAAGACAGAAAATAATCCTCCATAGAATCTCTCTTGATTCTGATGTGCCTTTTAGTTTCCAAAGCTGATGACAAAAATATGCACACTTTCAAGTCACACTGGCCTAGTTTGGCATTCTGGCTCTGCCACTTTCCACCTATGTGATTTTGGCCAACTTGCTTAAGCTCTCTGAGCCTCGGCATTCTCATCTGTAAAGTGGGTGTGTTGAAAATCCACATCAGAGGGGTGCCAGGGGCATTTAGTGAAGTCATGAATGTTAAGTATTTAATAGAGCTTGGGGCTTAGTCAGTGAGTGTTCAACAATCAGCAATCTATGCATAAAACAGTGTTTGCCAATTGCCCTTGTGTAAACATTCCAACCATGGCTGATGTCAAACTAACAACATGCTGTCATTGAATGAAGGGTCGAGCACACCATCATAGTGTTTCCACCATACAGATACAGTAGAAACAAACAACCTCAAAAGCAAAAATGATAGTTACACATAGACAAACAATTAAGAAGCAATGAGTTTTTGTGACCTTTACATTTTGAGTATTATCACCTGTGTTTTTAATATAATATATTTAATTGTAAGTTCACATAATTAAAATTTTCATGATGGCTGTGTTTAACAGCTGGCTCACCAAACTCCTGGAATATTTACTATATGCTCTCACAAACCAGTACCAGCCAGCTCTGGCACACTGGCTGGGTACACCTGTAGGTGGTCAGTCAGTGAGACTTCCCTTTCCTCTTTCTTTCCTATTCTCAGCCCCAGGGAGGATTTCATGAAGCCTTCCTAGGTAGAAACAGAGATGTCCCCTGTTCCACTGTAGGCTCCACGCTTTGCCTTTGGCCTTGGCCCCCATCCCAGTCCTCAGCCCATGCTAAACCTCAGCCAAGGTCCATCCTTCATCATGCTGCCTGACTGGCCCTTCCTGCCACTGGGGCGGCCGAGTCACTGCTAACACCAGAGAGGACATAGCCTCTGCTGGGCTGGGCGCCTGCAGGAGAACCACGAAGGGCTCTCTGTGGCTGCATGGTGGACTAGCTGGTCATTTCAGGATCCGTCCATGAGGGAGACAGGGGAGCCTAGCCAGCCAGCTGCACTTTGGCAAGTCCAGGCCTATAATTAGCCTCCACTTAAGGCTTGAACAAACCCCTGGTTGTTATTAAACAACAGTAAAGCAGGATGGCCTCCAGCTTCCCCAAGCCTAGTGCCGCATGAGTTGCCTGGGACAGACATTTGGACAGAAGTGCCCTATCTGCTGGGCAGCGTCCAAAATATCTCGGAAACGTCCCCTGTCCTCAACCCCAAGTGAGAACAGAGGAGCAAGGACGCTGAGCAGCCAGCTCCTCACCTCACCTCACCTCACCGTCCGCAGACTGTATTTCCTACCTGACTCCATGATTGCTCAGGCAGCCTCTTATTTATAGTCTGCAACCAGCTGGGGAAACGTTACAAATTCTCACAGTTGGTGCTAAGGTAAAAGGACATGTATCCAAAAGGCAAGACTTGGAATGATTGCCTTCTCGGCCATCTTTTTGCTTTTCCAGAACTGTATGACTCTAAATGTGGCACACATATCCCCCACACGCACCCCTAGAGTTCTGTCTTATTTTTTACTTTTTCTGTCCACCCCCTAGATCCCAAGTTTAAAAAGCAGAAACAAATAAACAACAAAACCAAGCTGCACTAAATGAGGAATTTAAGTTTCAGGGTCCCTAGCTCACCACATAGCCCCCTTTATATCAATCATTTATTTTTTCCCTCACCTGAGAATATGCTTTTGATTTATTTTAGAGAGAGAAAGGGAAGGAGGGAGGGGGGGAGAGAGTGTGTATGAGAGAGAGAGAGAGAAACATTGATAGGTCCCCCCCCC